TTTAAAAACACTTTTTTAAGTAAAAAAGATATTTTTATTTTCTATGTGTCTGATAGACGAGCTTTCCGATCACAGAGCAATGATTACCCCTAGTAGGGCCAAAATTTATCTTGTAGAAATCTTGTTCCTAATGCAAGTCCTGCTATGAGAAAGCTTTTTGCAAAAGTCCTTTAACGTTATCCTCAATGTTGTTCACAGCAAAAGTATTTCATGTTGTGAGTGCTGGCTGGAGGTACTCTGTGAGAGCAAAAAGAAACAGCTCTATTTAAGTACATAAAGTCATATGCATTGGCATATTCTCTTTTTCTTCATTTTGCTGCTACTTTTATGAAAGTGTTACTTCCAGGTAGAATGCTGTTGTGTCTTTAGAGGGATACTTCCAGTTCATACAGTAGACTTCAGCCCAACTACAAAAGAGATAACTCCTTTTTGTGGTGTTTTCCTATGTTGATTGTGGACCTTGAAAGTAGCTTATTTAGCCTCAATAAATGATTTCACATAATAAATGGAGTTACACTCTTATTCTGTGAAGCTTCTTTTTTTTTTTTGAATAGTGAAATAAAAATACACAAAAGAAATAAGGAATAGAACTAGATGTAGAGGCTAGAGATGAAAAGTAATCCTCATGCTTTCCCCTCCTAATTCCTGTGATGGATCACATGTATGCTTTAAAAAATATGATAGTTTGACCTTGTATCTAGAAAGTAACAATTGTACCTTTTTTTGAAAAGTCACTTGGAAGTAAACTAAGAATTCAAATTCACTTTCCTTTTCTGTAGAAGGGAAGCAAAATGCTTTCCTATGTATGCTGTGTCTCATTACATACTTTAAACCTCTGCCCTATTCTGATGAATTTTAAATGTCAAAGACTACAAACTGATGTGATTCTGCTGCACTGCAGTCCTGCTCATAACAACTTTATTACTCATTTTGACTTACACAGGGGAAAACCCAGTTAATTTAAATGTGTATTAGACACATAAGGAAATCATCAAAAGACATGTACTACAGAAGCCTTTTTTGGTGATGTTGACTCGAGCTGTTTAGGTAGCAACCAATTCTAAGTTTCTTCAGCAACCATGACAAAGTAATAATGCAATGCAAGAAACACAGAAGATGAAGAACATGGAAAAATGTATAAACACTGGTTTTGACCAGTCTCTCCACTGAGAGACTACAATGGTCGAGAAGACCTTATATCAGAAAGCCTGTACAAGAGAAAGACCTTGTAAATGTCTCTGTAACAAAACCCCTTCAGTCAGCACTCATCAAACATGTAAGACAATCAACTCTGAGAAGTAAGTCCAAAGGAAATCCAGCTTACTTAATTCCAAGTCATGAAAATAATTAAAAACTGTAAGAAGTCAGGACCTGGGATTTGTATCTCATGTAAAACGCGTTACTTTCCACAGGAACGAATAAATCTCACAAGGCTATTTAGGTAAGAGGGTCTTTGCACATCCAACTTTCTGTGCCATTTCTTTCTTTCAACTGTTTCTCCAAAACTCTTTTGTCTTAGCTTAAAACATACATTTTGCCTCAGTATTCTCAACACTAAGTATAATCACACAAATCTGTATAATTACAAACCTATTACAGTAGGTATGAATATTGTATCTTCACATTGTTAATAAAGCCTTATGATTATGAATAAAACTCAAAATATAATGCCCTTTAAACCACTGATTTTTCAACTGCATGCTATTAGCAAAAGTATAAAGGTTTAGAAAAGATATTTTAATTGTTTCTCTCTAATGGTGGGCTTAATTTAGGTCCTTTTATTTTAATTTAACTCCATACAGTGGTTCTTACCCTTTGGTAGTATCCTAGGACCATTTTTTTCTTCAATACATAATTGAAAGGAGGTCTGTAACTAATAGCAAATTTGTTTAGAAGATAAATAGACATTCATCTCAGCCTAAATGGCATAATTTGTGACTGCATCACAACCAAAACCTCTAAAATCTTAACGGACTACAAACTTTCAGAACCCTATGGCACAAAGTTAATACAGTTCACTCAAATGGATTACTAATTTGGAAGTGGCTATGCAGGTTAGAATTCATCTCTTCAAATACAGACAGCATCAGCCATATTTACCTATGCCCCCTCCACAGAAAATGGAGATAGACGGACACTTCTGGGACATGAATCACCTCTTCCTCAAGCAGGAGGAGATTTAAGACAGAAATAGTAAAAACACCTAGACCTCTATAAAAGGAGCCTCGCTGACTGGTGTTGATTAGGTAAAATCATATTCCCACTCTTTTGCAATATCCTGTTTTAGGAACTTATGTTCTGATTCATGATTAAGTATGCAGTGCAAGCACCTGTTGGTGGCAAGACACCAAGTATCGTCCAACAAATCATTTGATAATGAGTCAGTAATCCACTGATACGCAGTTAGTAATTTTCTTTCAGGCAGTAAAATTATGCAAGAGAAAATGTATTTGAATTCAAGGAGATTACAGAATTGTAAAAGGAGTTCTGTATACACATAATTATATGCCCTATATTAATTCAAGTATGCTTCACAGAAGTTAGAACTGATTTTGGTCACAATTCCTCAGGTGGAAGGTTATTATCACACTATCAAGCCAAAAAGAAGTGTTCAGCAGAAGCATGGATACATTCTTGACTAAATTTAACTTTCAGTATGTGATAGATACACTGAGAAAAATTTATAGCCCCAAACATCAGAAGTTTACTACTGCAAATGATATATTTATATAAGCACAGTAATATGATATTGTAAAAGATTTAAAAAGTACTAAGAGTTAGCTTCTTAATATTATAAAAGTGCAGGTTTAAACTATGCAACTTAATACTGCATTTAATTGTAAAAACCAGTAAAATTAAAGTATCAGAATTGAAAATAATTGTAATTAAACATGAATGCATAATTTAGGTTCTAAAATAAATCACATAAGCATCAAAAATGAGCCTTAAATAAGGACAAAATCAGCCTGAAGTGTTGCACAGAAAATCAGATGGGGAGAAGCTCAATACAACCATGTAATGAACAAACAAAACCAAACTCAATTATTAACATGCTAATATTTTACAGATATAAAAACAAATATTAAAAAAATTGTTACGTACCGTAGGGATTTGAAACAATGTGGTCTTCTGAATACACTACAATCAGTCTCTTTCCAAGAGAGAATTGCCTAACTTTTCCACTACTTTCAAATCTGGAGTGGAAGATATTTTAGGCCTGGCCAAATATCACTGGAAATAAATTCGTTCACATGTTTGGCTGTGTTTTGCATTCCATCTTGTTGCTCTGGCACAAAGATGTAGCTAATTATAATCTGTGACATAAGCGGCTAATTCTACTGCTAAAAGGGTTGTGTACTGATTCCAGAAATGAACTGCCCCACTGTAAGACATAACCAATCCATAACGTGCACTGAAATGGCTCAACCTGTCACGTAATGTCAACTGCTTTATTAGAATCCAAGAATATGCAGCACTTCATACAATCTGCATGTAAAAACTATTATCGGAGTTTGCTGCTAAAGCACATAATGCAAAATTAGAAACAAAAAAGCTTCTGCTTTCTTCTCTGAATCCATATGTAACTTTCAACTGAATTTTAACAGCTGACTTTTTGAAAATTTTTCATTTTCTTGCTAACATAATTCTAAATCTAATTCTATAATCTAAACTGGCTGGCATATAAAAAGTCTCTTTAAAAGAAGAAAATACATATATTATAATATACCTATAATAGTACATATAAATTTTATACAAGAACTACACTAACAATTATGAATTTTTCCAAAAAGTTAAGCCTGTCTTGGTATAAAAGACAGATGCACATAAATACTAAGAGCTATATATAAAAGCAACATATATTATATATTTTAAGATGAAATTATAGAAATTATGACACATATTTTTTCAGTATCATTTAAGCTTTGAGTTCTCAAACACAGAAACAAGGATTCCAGGCCACCACTACTTATATTAGACTGACTACACAACACTAACCAACAATTCTGTTCAACCTACAATATTTTAGAATCTGTGCTGGTAGATGTCCGCAATTTAAAAAGCATTAAACCATACATTTGTAAGATTTACAAAACAAAAGTTTTGTGCTATATAAAGCATTGCAATCATTGTCCAAATGTTTGGACAATTTCATTTCTCAAAGCACGTTTCCTTTTTTCCAGCCATGCCCTCGCACCGTTTTCGTGCTTCAGAAGATGAAGCTCCTATCAGACATTTAACACCTGCAGATCATAAATTTAGGACTGACACAAATCCAACTGATCACAGGCTTACAATATAGTTTTTTCCCTTTATGAATTCAATGGCCATTGCTCCTTTATCAGACTCTGTTTACATATACAAATGGAGAAGTTCTTTTCTATACAAAGGAATTAATTCACCGATATCTGACAAAAAAGACAAATATTTTTCATAATAAAATATTTAACAATAGCTTTGAAACTGCTTTTATATTTAATCTTGGGGATTTATAAAAGATAAAGTGTGAGGAAAGCCTTTGTATGTTGTGTTAACACCAAAGCTCCTTGAAATTCCTTGTAAGTATTAGAGGAAGAAATCTATAAATGATAGATAGTCTTGAAAGGTTCATTATTTAGTCATTATTTAGGTGAATGGGATTCATTCTAGGGATTTCCTGCAAAATCTTTTGCTCATTCTTGGAGAAAATCAGAGAATCAGTTAAAACTGGATACATGACCCTCAAAAAAGCAACATTTTAAATGACATTTTAATATGTCTCCTTTTGGTATATTTGTAATTATTTGATTTCTGAACTTATAAAAAAATATGGACTAACATAGTGCCCAGCTATAGAATGATTAGATTGTATCACCCAGTAGCTCTCTTTATGGACAGAACTTTGTGTTATTTTCTGTATATGATTACTCTTCTTGGTCTAGATTCATGATATCCTTTGTCTTGCTCTTCTACACATCTACTTTCTGAAAAGTAAAAATTCTAAAAATGAAAAAAACAAATACCTCAGTTAGTATCTTCTGAAGTTCTCATGAAGTAGGACTGAAGCAAGAGCAACTGTCAGTGAGTTCTGTATCATCTGAAGGCAGCTGTCTTCCTATTTAAATGCAAAAAAGGGAAAGAGAAAGCAAAATTTTTCATGAGAATGGAGAAAGAATAAGATATATTCCTGAACTGCTCTCCTGACTACTTTAACTGACAACATCTTACAAGGGATAGACCAAAATTCACTGAGTTTAAAATTGTGGAACACAAATGAAACACTAGACTCCCAACACCTGTTTGGACTCTAAATATTCATGACAGTAGAGTTTACAATAAATGAGAAATAAACATTAGTAAAAAATCTATGTGCAAAATAATAAAAAATATTTCTGTTGCAAGCATAAGATTAGAATACATTAGTATAATGAACAGTAACTTTAATTATGGAGTTACATTGCATTTGTACAAAAACTAAATCTTTCACTATTCACAGTTCAAAAATGCTGATGTCCCATTCCTCACCAAAACCTGCCAACTTCCTTTCCAACTGGAGTTCGAAAGTCAATGACTGATGACGTAGTCCTGTAAAGGTAACTAAGCAAACATATTTATCTTCCACATTGTCAGAGTCCACTCATACTTGACTAACTAGAAGTACTTGCAAACTTACAGCATGAAAAAGCTATGGAAAAAGATAGGTAAACTGTGGTTTGAATATTCTGCCATTTTTATCCATCTGTGAGATGTTTAAAGATCGTGATAAGGATTTAGTACCCAAAGGGTATTTAAGGAACAACAATACTCTAGCCAGTATGGTAAACTGAATTTATCCAAAATACTGTAATTATGTGGTAAACAGTAAAAATAGCTAAAATTAGGTTGCATGGATGTGCAACTCCAGATGATATCAGAGGTCATTTACAACCTAAATGATCCTATGAAACAGAAGTTTTGCCATATGAAATATTAAAAGATACCTTGCTAATGGTTCAGAAAGGTCAAGTAGTGTAGTAAAAGTAAATTTACATTAATGATAAAATGGTACATACTTTGGGAAAAAAGTATGAATGCAAAAATGCAAACTAACCAAATTCCCAACCAATTAAAGTGGAGTATAATTTTATTAATGGTCAGAAAATATAAAAACTAAGTATTTACTGGACATCTCTGTCCATCTCTGTTCCAAGAACAGAGGGGAAATATCCGAGTCTCCTTGATTCTCGTTCTTTTGCATTTTAGTTACTTATGAACTTGAAATGATGCAACAGAAAAATCACATTTTCAAAAACTATTTTTTCCAGTTCTCCTGTCTTCCCACTGCTGTTAGAGGATCAAATATGATATAAAACAAGAACTGTTGGAATCAACTTTTTTTGTGTTTCCTTCCAAAGAATTTGAATTGGCCATGTTTGATGTGCTTTTTAAATTTGTAAGGGGTAGGACAGCCAGTCATTTATTGATAGATCATGACCCTGCCTCTTCCTAAGAACAGGGCTACAGTGAATATTCAGAAAGGGATGTAATCTAAACGTGAGCAAAACAGTGAGCCAAAAGAGGATTATATCTTTCCAATACAAACAGAAGCAAACATTTGAAAGTTACTCTTGCACCTTCTAAAGCTATAAAAATGCAACTGTTTTAAACAATTACAAAGTGGAAAATATTTCAACAGGAACCTTTTGAAATATAAACACACGACCCACAAATACAAGGCTTTAAGGGAGATCTGTTTAGACTGTTTCATTACCTGATATCTATAAGGAGGTTCAAAACAGCTTTGAAACTCAGAATATTTATGTTTTGTTTAAGAACGAACAAGAATAAACTAAAAGAGAAAAATCTCAAAATTACTATGCAAGACAATATAAAAATAAAAGAATTAATTCATAAGTGTCCAACTGCCCCGTGTGTCAGTGCACAGCAGGTCCTTCTGTCTGGTTTCTAGAAGTTTTTTCCATGTGTGAGCATGAACAGTTGGTTGTGGGTCTATGGCCTGATTCTCCTATCAGTATTCAATCTCTGCTTCAGCTGTTATCTCTCTGTTCCTTGCTGCCACACCCATCTTCTCTATCCCTTTTTTTGCCACATTCAGTCACCTGGACTTTCCTCCCCAGTACACTCAGTGGCTCTAGAAAAGGAATCTTTTTCACTTACTGTTCACCAGCTCAACTCAATCTCTTCTCAAATTAACATAGACACAAAATTAATTTATATAAAACCAATTCAAACTGTCACAGAGGGCTAGTTAACGGGTTTTTTTGGGTGAGGATGTGTTCAGTGGTATCTTCTGCTTGGATTGCATCTTCACACAATCTGATTAAAAACTATTTAATTTCTGTGGGTTTAATTCTGCATGAATCTTTAAAGAGATTAAGCAGTGAAGCAACAAGTAAAAAGCTGCATGGGTACTCTGTGCTCAGTGCTGTACTCTGTGCAAAGACGAGCCTGACAGGTGCCTTGGAATAGAGGTAAAATGGGATAAATTTCTTTTCTAAGAGCAAACAAGCAAGCTCATTTTGTAGACCCTTTCAAAGAGTCCAGTTGAGGGAGCAAATACTAATTTGAGTCTGCAGCTTGTGCAGACTGGAAGACAATGGAGGGACCTTGCTATAGTACCAAAAAAAGTACTTAAAAGCAGAAAATGTTGCCTGACAATATTAGGGAGGAAATAAAAACATCAAACATTAAATATCAAAGCAGATTTGGAATTAATTTGTCTGTTGCATTGTTGGTATGCTTTAAGCATTCTTCTAAGCACAAAATTCAAATACTGTGGCTTGAGGAAGTTAATTGTTAGCTTTTTTCAGGAAGAAAACAAGAAATGTATACTTTTGGTTTATATGAAACTCTCTAATATACTGTATCGGAGAGTGGAGCAAAGCATTTTTTCATAGGTTCACTGTTTTGTGCATTTGGATTTTTATTTTAGGATATGAGTCATTGCACACCTACTCACAGCTCCATCTGCAAGCACTCTGGGACAGGTACAATAGTGTATTCACAGGTCTATTTCATACAGTATGTCAAATCACTTCTACAACAGATGTCAAAAGCACTGACAATGAACAGAGAATGTTTCATGTTCTTTGATGATAACATTTCCTCTTACATCATCTGACCTTTACTAAAAACAAAAGCAAAACCCCCGTCTGTCCCTCCATGGTAGATTGACTGTCCCTCCATGGTAGAATAGGTTTAATAGGTCTTGGAAGCACTGTATTCTCATATTTGTACATACCAACCCGAAAGAATAAAATGAGTTTACCACTCTCTTTTGCTTTCTTCCTATTCCTTTTATCTTCTTTTATTTTTCTTGCTTCCTTCCCTATTCACTGACAGAGTAGAAATACCGATAATCAAGAGAAATAAAAATCTGCCACTTTATCATTAAATGTTATTTTTCAGTTACAAAGCATATATTTAATTCTGGGGTAATAAAGCAGGTGTATCTAACCTGGATTTGAAACAAAAGCATACAAAAGCTCCTAAAATTCAGTGTAAATCCAGTTATTCAGTGTCTACTTCATTAGTTAGAATACTTTTTTCATTCAGTACCACCATGCATCTTCCCAGAAAGAAAAAAAAAGAAAGAGTTAAGGCACACAAGAAAAAGGTTTCCTGTTTCAGAAGATTTAGAAGAAGAGAAGTGGAAATCTGAAAATTATAGTGCTCTGGCCAGGGCACTACAACAGAACCCAGAGCTCATGCCCTGACACACTCAATGCCCAGACTTTAGTGGATTGTAATTTTATGCTTGGAGCAACTGACTACTAAATTATTTCCATAATAGGAACCTGCATTAGTTTAATTTTCTTAAAACTTCAGTAATCCATAACAGTGATAAAAAGATGGAACACTAGTTAAATATTTAGGAAAACAATACAGTATTAATACATTGCTTCTTCCCTGTTAAACAAGTGGAAAAAGCTACTGTGGGATGGTCATACTACAGACCAGCATGTATGCTCAGAGAGAGAATGAGTTAAGACTGGCTGTTTAGCTAGTATAAATAAATTAATACATACTTAATAATTTGTTATGAGACCTAAAGAGACCTCCTTTAGTTTATTTTGTAAGCTGAACCTGTGCAACAAAATATCAGAAGTACCTCCATAAAAAATGAACTAAAATTTAAAAGCTGAAAAACCAGAAGAAAATAAATAAAATTGAAGAAGAAGTTAACCCAAAAGTACGTTTTGGCTAATATGTTAAGTCTGGTCATTTACCGAATTAAATCTTGATCCAAGTGAAATGAAGATTAGGTATAAATCAATGAGAGAGCAAAACAAGACTACAAAGAAGCTATGTCCTAAATTTTATTTTGTAATCATCTAGACAAAAAGAAGCTGTAATTGTTTTCATTTTACATGAACCTATATCCTAAACTTTATTTAGTAATAATCTAGACAAAAAGAAGTTGTAATTGTTTTCCTTTTACATGAGTGCTTCTGTTCACAGGTTTTGATAAATATTCAGTGTAAAAGGGAATCAGGTGTAATAAAGGCTTCAGCTGTATAAGAAAGTTAAATGAGTTTACATGATTTATTTCTAGATAATTTTCTTATATTTACACATATAAAACGAAACTTTAAAGGGGATCTGCTTAAACTTTTCCTTTACAGTGAGCTCCTCAAAGTAAACCAGATTACATTATAGAATCTTTATTTTTTAAAATAGAGAACCTGGGATCAAGCAGTTAAGACAGAATATAAATAGAAGCAAGCCTATGAACAAGTAATTTCCTGGCCATTTCTCTTTGCACAAAGAACCCTTCACTCCAGACCTGATGTCTGTCCCCTCAGTGATTCAATGAGTTGCAGAAAGCTCTGAAGCTCTCTCCAGAATCAAGGAGGTTTCCCGTTTATCACCTGTGAAACCTGACTTGCAGCTCTGTGGCCCTTACAATTTCTTCTCTTAACTGTTCTTCTGGAGCTGCAGGCTCCCTCACTGTGTTTCTTTGCTTTTATACACCATGGTAAATTTGTGGTTTCTGAAATTGTCTTTTTTTAGAGTATTTTTAAATGTTCCTAAGGAATGACAGTCTTCTCTGCTTCCTTCTGAGGAACACAGCAACAAAGAAGAACAAAAAGCCCTCGGGTTAGGTCATACCCA